TATATATATATATATATATATGTGAACATCTTGTCGGCTTCTCAAGCGGATTCCTTGAGTCAATCAGTATGTAGGTTTGTCACTTAACTTTAGCTTCAAACCCATCAAGCTCAGGGGATATGAACCATGAAACCGCACAGCCAGTCTCAGTGTACTTGTGTATGGAACGGGACCTCTGGACCCGTCAAGCTCTGGGTTTGTGGGCGACGAAACCTCACAGTCCAGTTGTGTTTGGAATCTCATGCCCCGTAGAATCCAGCGAATAGCGTATGCATTGCAGTGGAAGATCATAGTGCTCACTAAAACAGTGCCCAACGTCATCTAACGTGAAGGCTTCCAAGTTCCAGTATGGGGCCGTAAGCTGATTGCTCAAGACCTGTTCTTGCTGTATGTGTTTCTTGCGTTCCAGATACGCCACATTTGGGATTAAAGCGTTGCAGGTCCCACCAGTCCAAGGAGCATGGGCAAAGCGGAAGCAGCAAAACTGAACAATACTACCGGATTTGGCGGAATATCCAGTTTTGATGTTTTTCTATTTATTTCTGCAGATAATACGCTCACCAGCGGCCTTTTCCGCGAATCCGTTGCTCGCTGCCGCGGGAATTGTACCAATGGTACCCTACTGAGCGCCCTGCTAATGTTCATGTCCGAGGTTCCTAAGCGCTAAAAAATATTGAAAATATACAAACCATATAGCTTTGATTTCACAGGAGTGAATTTCAATTAAATAAGGAGGAGACATGGCCTGCTTGTTTCCAGTCAGCCTGAAGACTGAAGACTGCAGGGTCACTGGTACGCTGACAATGCGGCTTCATAGGGAGCCGACTTAAGAAAGCCATCTAAGCAATTTCACCAATTTGAAATATATTTTCCACATTATCAGTGTTTGGAGTGCATACCTTCTCCTCGTGTTAGGGGCTTAGAGACGGCTGCGCCGCCTGATGACCCTCAGAAGAGCCGAGGTGACGCGCGGCGCCGCCGTTCCTGCGCGATATGCCTTCATAATTTTCCCCTTTTGATCAAACTAAAACTTTACCAGTCAGTTTTATACAGGGACTAGCTTGACGTAATTGGCTGCAGAAGTCTTTCCTAGCTTGTAAACGAACGCGTGCTGCAGCAGTGTCGTTCGCCTTCTGCGTGTCTACTACTTCTCCATCCATACCAACATACACCGTAATAAATAACACAAATTCTCTCTTCTGGTATCATTCGTCAAAGTGTGGTTTTCCGTGCTTTCATACTTTTCATTGCTTTTTATGTTGCCCTTGTGCCTTCCCGACTGTCAACCCCTGACAGCTCCCCCCGTCATCCAGCACAAAAGGCCAGCGCGGCGGCCGCTCTCCAAACCTTCGTTCTCTTCGCCACTTCATCTTTTGAAAATTTTATTCTCCAAACTCAGCTTGATACCAACATGGTAGGCCCTCAGGCACTCTGCGGTTATGCAGGCTTGCGACCTTGTGCCTACAACGGCCTCTCGAAGGGCACTTCTCCTACTGTCCCAGCGGCTTCTGCTGTTTCATCCTCAGTCTTCTCTGCAGCCGCAGCGGCTGTGCCAGCTAGACACCCCTAGGACTCGAGGGCAGATGGAGGCTACTCAGTGTTTCGGAGTGGAGCTGCACTTCGTTCTACCGGAACGGTCCAGCAGCTGTAGTTGCAAGGTGTCTGTTGCAAGCATAGGAAGAAATGCGGTCTTATATTGCGCTGCTCGTGCGCTGCAGCTGCCATTCTCTCTTGGCTACCTGCAACAGCAGTGTGCTCCCCCTGCCCCCGTTGACTGGGAGGCAGCAGCGAAGCAGTACTGTGCCTACCGGGCCCCACAGTCACAGCCACAGTCGCAGTCCGAGCAGCAGCAGCAGCAGCGGCCGGAAGACTATGGGGGGAAGAGGAAAAGAGCGACGAAGGGATTTAAAGAAATGCCCCATGAAACAGCCGAGACGGACGACGTAACCCCTCCCGGTGTGTTTACGTGTGCCCCATATACACCCCTATTATGTTAGCACTAACTAAATATTGTTATATTACATGCAACCCCAAGACTAAGTTCCGTAGAAGTACTTCTGCTGCCTGTGAGCCAAGCGTGGTTAGCCTTCTAATTCTCAGCCCCAAACCGTAAGACGCACGCCCTAAATCCTCAACTAGACCCTCAGTCCACGCAGTTTTGTATTCTTCCCAAGCTACCTGCTTCTTCTAAAGCCCTACATGCGGTTTAGATACACCTGAAGATTACCAGACACTGGCTTATCGATGCGGAGAAGACGGAGTGCCAGGGGACAACATTGGCTTTCTTCTTAAGCGAGCAGACCAGGCCCCCTATTCTTACGAGGCGCTACATGACCTTGTTTGTGCCCTGTCTGCTGCTGTAAGCTTCTTGAATCCTTTTAACTCTACAGGAATGTCGAATTCATTAACGTATATAACCCCTACTTAACAGGAGCTCATCCTTTATTATCCGCCCCTACGCTTGAACACTGCTTGCACTTACATACTCCAAGTGAGGAAACCCTCAACAGCTTCACAGCCTCCAGAACTTCTTCCCCGTTTGTACTGGCTGTCTGTACACCTCAGGGCCCCGAGAGGCTGGAGGACTACGAAAGCGCCTTGGAGAGGCTCTTGGATGAATATCCTCTTCTTTTCGGCTACTGGAAAAAGCTCGCGAGGCTTCAATGCCAGCTGAAAGGAGATTGGACCAAATGCGACGAGGTCAGCAATCTGATGATGTAACTGCTGTTGCCGCTGATGTTTCATTTGCTCCTGACAGAGTTGGTGTGTACTATGCTGGAGAAGCACCGAACAATGCCGCTTGGCACAGTGCCTCTGCTGCTGTTGTTGCTGTTTTTGTTGTCCCTGGTGCTCCTGCTGCGTCTTGACCTACGTCTCCCCTCTGTTGTTGCCACTTCTGTTGCTGCTGCTGTTGCTACTGCTGGTGGTGCTGTTGATGCTGCCTTGGGTGGTTTGCTCTTGCAGGTGTTTGAGCGCTGTTTAGAGTTTGTGGGCCACAACCCGCTGGTATGGACAGCGTACCTGGAGTGGGTGAGGGACTTCGCCTCGCTGCCCCCTAACCTTATCAGGGCCCGCATGGACCAGGCCATCCAGCAAGCAAGCCACAAACCCTGAAACCCTAAGATTTAAACCCAGAGCGCCAAACCCTACGCGCTATACCATCAGCCTCAAACCCTTAAACCTAAGTGCTGCAGTTTAAACGCTCAAACCTATGCCCTCAGCACTGGACACTCAACACTAAACACATTTAACGCTAAACACTGAAGCCTGAACAGGGCTTTAGCTCCATGGCGAAGGCAGCCCTCGCCAGAACGTGTATCAAGAGAACGGTGCAGCATCCAGCACGTAGCTCACACGCCATATACATATCTTTCCAGGCGGTTTCTAAGCACCCCGTCGACGGCACCGGTCATGGCTCCAGCACCTGCTTGCTGCTGCTATTGCTGCTGCTTACTTGGCAGGGCTCGATATTTCTGTTTCGTTCTGTAGAGGTTTCAGGCATCTATAGCTAGGGACATCTTCAATTCCCTGCATCAGCTCATGTTGCTGTAGCCATGCAGGCACTGCTGCTGCTGCTGCTGCGTGTGTCTTTGCTGCTATTAGGCGGGAGCACACTGGAAGGCGTGGCCGCTGTGGCAGAACATTTTGGACTGGGAGGAAGCGGAGTTGTTTGCTGCGAGAGAGAAAGTGATTGCAGCAGAACAGGGAGCGGGGGCCCTTGAGGCTCAGGAGGACCAGACAGATAACGCGAGCAACAGCGATTCGCCACCACTGAGCGGTTTCAGTAGCCTTGTGGAGATAAACAGAGAGCAAATGCTGGCAGCCCTGCAACGCGTAGGGCCAATTAGACAACTCTAATCGATTCATCCATTAGTTTGCTGCTTTCCCTACTGCTACTGCTACTACTGAATTATCATTGCCGATGGGACAGTTGTTGTTGTTGTGGATACTGTTGCTGCTTCTGCCGTCATTTCTGCTTCCTGTTTCTGCCTCTGCTTCTCATACTGTGGCCGTTGCTGCTGCTGCTGCTGTTCAGCTTCGATTGTTGTATTCGCAGCTGCTGCGGACCCCTTTGGAGTGCTCGGATTTGGTGTGGGAACGGCTAAAAGCCCTCGTAGAGAGAGGCAGCAGCAGCAGCATCAAAAGCCGCCGGGGTCCCCGGCCTGGCGTGCATGCTGATGGAGACGGGTCCATTAAGGGGGCCTCGACCCTCTTCGATGTTTATGATCTTCTTGCTGACGAGCTGCTGCCAGAGCTGCTGCAGCGGCTGCGGCAGCAAAAGTCCTCTACCCTCGAAGAACTACAACTCTCACCGGAAAGAGCTGGCGCGGAGCAGCAACCCAAATCAGACGATCCTGCTGCAGCAAGAGCAGCAATTAAAGAAAGAGGTAACCGCTGGTACTCCTTCCGGTGCTGCAATCGTCGCTGCTGCTGCTGCTACAGCGGGTCCTGTGCGCCTACCTGCGGGAAGCTGTAACTGCTAAGCCTGAGTGAGGGTAGCTGTAAGTGCTTTCACTGCACGCGGCTGTTGTGCACAGCGCATTTGTTGCGGCTGCCGCTGTTGTTGTTGTTGCTCTAACTGTTCAGTATCCACGCTGGCATCCGTAAACGCAGTGGAGAGAGAATGCTGGCAGCTGATGAGAGAAAACCTCGACGCTACGCTGGAAATGGCTGCTCTGAGACAGCCGTTTGAAAAAGCGGTAAGTAGTATATAACAACAGAAAAAGCAGCAGCAAAACCAAATGCAAGAGCAGCAGTAACATTCCATGTAGTTCTAAAGTGATGACGTCTTCACTGACATCGCAGCTGGCATGAAATCCCCTATGGAATGCCTCAGAAATAGGTACCGCAGCCACAGCAGCACCAGCAGAGACCCCCTTGCAGCAACGACATGCCGCTTGCTTGATACTGCTCCTAATGCTGCTACAGGTGCACCGGTGGTTTTGGCATCCTGACCCCCTCGCTCCTCGCCGTCTGCAAGCCTGGAGAGACTACTTGGATTTTGAAGAGAAGAATGTACACACCCCACACACATTAGTCTGTTCCGTGACCCATTGGGTTTTAACCATAAAGCATATGCTTTTGGCTTGCCGTTGCGTCCGCTGCCTATGTTGATACGCGCATTACTGCACATGCTGTTTGTACCTCCGCTGCTGTTTCTGCTGCTTCTGCCTCGCCCTTGCTTAACCTATTACCTTTCTCGGGAGGAGCTGTGAGGTTGCTGCTGCAGGCACCTGAGCGTTTGCCGATGCTGCAGCGCCGTTGCTTGGAGGTGTGCGCTTCTTACCCTGAGTTCTGGCTGCGCTGTGCTCGTCAGCGCAGACGAAGCAACCAAGAAGAGGCGCTGCAGCTGCTGCATTTTGCAACAACGAAAGTCTTGAAACGCCGGTATGTACATACATCGCAACACAAAACACCAGAGCCCTTGCAACTGAGGAGCCTGTCCCACGCTGCTGCAGCAGAGCAAACTCTGCCGGGGCGGGCCCCACACTGCTGCAACACAGGAGGCTCTGCGGAAATGGGGCCGCGTAACTGCGGAGGCCACCTCAGCTGCCGCTGCTGCTACTGGCAGCAGCTGCACGGTTCAGTGCTGCAGGCAACAGCGATAGAAGCCGGTTCGTTCTGTTGTCTCTGCTTTTTGTCGCCTGACCCCTTTCTTCCCTCTTTTCATTGCCTTCCCTTCTCCACCTTGCGTGCCTCTTCCTTATCTGTCTCTATCCTTTCTTTCCCGCCTTTGTGCTGCAGCAGGGACATGGCTTGCATATACGCCTCGCAGCTCGAGGCCTGCGGCCGTCTCAAAGAAGCAGCAAATGAATTCGAGGCGCTCGTGAGGTCCGCTCCAAAACCTTCCTGCTGCTGCTGTTGGTGGAGCATCACAATCCATCGCAGCGAGAAAAACTGATGAAGCAATTGCAAGCAATCAGAACCGCGTGTTCCTGAATCTGCTGCTGCTGCCACACAATCTTGAGAGTGTAGTTGCGAGTTTCGTAGCCGCACGAGCACCAGTGGCAGCAGCAGTAGAACGAACATGAACCGCAGCATGGTGTGGGTGTGAGTTGTAGGCCTCCTGTGGACCCGGCTTCCCTCAAGTATTTTGTGGCGCTGCTGCAGTTCTCTCTGCGCCACCCGCCTGAGACAGCAGCAGACAGCCTCAGCCACGCGCTGCTGCTGTTGGAAGAAGCAGCAGAAAAATATAGAGATGATGGACCCTGTGCTGAGCTGCTGCATATCTACAGAGCGAAGCTCGTGGCCTTTCACGGGGGTGACACAAAAAAAGCGCTGTGAGCTCAAGTCACCTGCAGTTGCTGCTGCTTCTGTGGCTTCCGCTACATCACGCTGTATTACTGCTGCTGCTCTAGTAAAACTCCTACCCCTGTAGGAGAACCTCCTCCGAAGCAACAGCAGGCCGTGAACCACCAGCAGGATTTGCTGCTGCATTCGCAGCATCCGCAGCAGCGATGCGGCACATTTGTATGCTTGTTGCAGCTCTATCCTCTCTAGAGCCAGAGACGCTCTTCCGAGGAGCCTCCCTTTGCTGCTGCTGCAGCTGCGGTTGCTGCAGCAGCAACACGCTGGAGACCCTGTGAAGATACTTGCCGCATGCAGACCAATCTTGGCTGAAGTCCTCTCCAACCCAGACGTCAGGAACACTGAGCCCTAAATCATAAATCCTACATCCTAAGACCACATTCATTCCCTTATACTCTAGGGCGTTAATTCTCAATCATAAACCCTCACCTTTCTCTCTTAAACCCTACACCATAAAAAGAATACTTTAAATCCTAAACGCGCAGCCGTGAAGCGTAATCCATAAACAGTAAACCCTATTCCTTAAACCCTACCCAAGTTAAACTCCAGAGAGCCTAACCCTAAACCCTCGACTCTAAGCGATATATTCAATTGTGCTGTGGCTTCTCTGCCGCAGTCCGACGTGTGGCTCCGGTGGCAGGTGCTGAAGCTGCAGATCCATTTGTATGAATTCTACGCAGCCCCAACAGAAACTCTCTTCGCAGCAAAAGTAAACTCTAAACCCTAAATTCCGTATCTTTAACCGTTAGCCCTTACACCCTGCGAGCGCGAACGGGGAAAAGGAAGACGGATTGACACAAGGAGCCCGAACCTGTGGTGGAAATGCTGCTGCTGTTGCCGCAGCTGCCTCTGCTTCCTGCTGCTGCTCCTGCTTGCCGCAAATGTTCGTTGTTGTTGCTGCTGTTACGTGCTGCTGCCGCTCCTGCTGTACAGGAAGCAGCCACCACCTTTTTGGAAAGGCACAGGCAGGAGATAGCTTCCCTTGCTGCTTCAGCAGAGCTACGGAGGCTGCCACAGAAGATGCTGCTGCCGTATGGAGACAAGGAGGAGGAAGGCGCTGCTGCAGCAACGGGAGCATCGGCGGCTAGTTGGTCCAACGAGGACCCGCAAGCAAACGCAGAGGTTAGTCTCTCTACTGCAGAAAAGCTTCTGTCATGTGCTGCAGCAGCAGCCGCTGCTGTAGCACAAGCAGCAACGGATCCCCTTCATCCGCAATTGATAGAGTGGCCTTTGCACCCAACGTCAGCAGCAGAAAGCAGCAGTGCAAGTAGTACTGACTGCTGCAGCAGGAGTTGGAGCTGCCGCAGCAGGTGTCCTGGCGGCAGCAACAGCAGCAGTAGCAGCGGCGCTAGCAGCAGCACAGATTCGAAGCTGAGCCCTTCAACACTGCTTCCATCAACCAGTGGTTTGCTGCAGTGTATCTGCGGCTCGAGTCCTTGTTGCATGCACTCATTAGCAGCAGCAAACTGTGGTGCTAATGCTGCTGCTGCTTGTCCACCCTGCAATCACTTTCTCTCTCCGTTACCCAAGCGTGAGACCCCGGAAGCAGCAGCAGCAGCAGCAGCACAAGGTGTGGAGTCTCCAGTGTGGCCGTGGCTCGGTGCTCACGCAGTACCAAAAGCCTCTACCTCACCTCCAGCACTCCCACCATCATCATCATTAGCAGCAGCTGAGCCATGGGATGCGGCTTCTCCCTCTACGATGGCCATCACGGCTTTCAGTACTCCTGCTGCTTTTGCTGCTCTCTGCAACAATATTGCTGCCTTCTGCGGTTCTAGGCCTCCGCTGTCGCCACACCCTCTCTTTCTTCCTTTTGCACAGGAGTTGCAACAGCTGCAGGAGCGGCACCAGTTGCAGCAGCAGCAGCTTCAACATGCCACCTGCCCTTCCGCTGCCGCTGCTGAGGCAGTTGCGCCTCCGGGAGAACCACAGCAACAGCAACATCAACTGCAGCAGGATCCACAGGAGGAGCACTTGAAACCTGAAACACAGCAAAAGTCTGAATTGCTGGATGTTTTGCAAGAGGCACTGCAGCAGCAAGAGATGCAGCAGAGAAATGAACTGCGGCAGCAAGCGAGCGAACAGTTCCCGTTACAGCAGCAAACCCAGCAGCAAACCATAAGGTGCGGGGCACAGCAGCTCGCGAAGGAGGAGGGAGGGGAGGAGGAGCAGCAACAACATCTTGGTCCTCCTGAGGATCTAGCCGACGATAACGTGCCTATTCAATTTTGCTTGGGCAGGAGAGCAAGAGGAGAGTCGGAGGGAAGTGCTGCTGCTGCTGCCACTGCCACAACGATGCCATTTTTGGCGTTGAATGAGGCCAGGCAACACCACCAGTCTCCATCGAGCAGGAGCAGCAGGAGCAGCAGCAGCTGCTGCTGCTTCACTCCTCAGGCTGGCCTGCAGAGCCCTATGAGCAACAGCAGCGTCATCGCAGGCCAAACGAACAGCAGCAGTGGCAGCAGCAACAACATGTCCAAGCGGTCATGTGCAGTTTCTCCTACAGAAATGGCTGCTGCATCTAATGAGCTGTCTCCATCTGCGTCTGTCGCCCCTCTCTGCTCTCAAGAAAAAAAAACAGAAGTTGCTTTGGCAGGTGCAGCAGCAGCTGCGGATGCACGGGGAAATGCTGATTCAGGTTCTTGGAAGTGTGGAAAAGGCGAGGGTTCAACGGAAGGAGCAAAGGTTAGGGAGCAGCAGCATCAGCAACACCAGCACCAGAACCAGGATGTAGAAGACCGAGGGGTTCCTCTTCCTTTATCGACTAGCAGCAGTGGGACGATATCGACGGCGGCTTCAGTATCGGCCACAGCAGCAGCGGAGTCAGCGGAGGAATCCCAGGAGGGAGCAACGGCAGCAGCGGCCGCAGCAACAGGAGCAGCAGCAGGAGCTTTCCCTCGTCTCCTGTCTCTAAAGCAACTTGTGGGGAGGCATATCGCCGAAGCAGGCAAGGGGATGTCTTTCATGCACTGCTTCTCCCTGCAAAACTTGCGCGTGGCGTTGGAGGGGGGTGACTTGGCTCCTATATCTTTCCCGCTGGATGAACTCCCCTTCAGTGAAGTGGCTGCTGCTCTGTGCAGAGAAACACCAGCAGCAGCAGCAGCAGATTCGGCGGCAGCTGGTCCAAGAGTCACGTCTGCAGCCGCTTCTACCCATGGAGGGGCGGGGAAAGCCTTACGGACGCCACCTCCAGCAACAACAGCAGCAGGAGCGGCAGCGGGAACAGCAAGGAGAAGGGACTTCCGGCTGTCGTCGTACCTACCGGGTCTTGAAGCGCTTCAGCAAGACTGGCTGGCGTTTGCTGCTGCTCGCATCTTTGTTTTCTCCCTCTGCGATTTGCTGCACATACACCCCGAAGTTGCCTTTACAGCAGTGAGGTATATGGGGTGGCTGCTGCTGGAGTGGTACACTTGGCAGCCCCCTGCAGACCTCCTCTTTCCCGCCGCTGCTCCTGGACCTGGACCAGACTCCGCGGCAGCAGAAAGCCCACCACAGAAATCAGCCGAGGCACTGCAGCAGCAGCCAAACGACACAGCAAAACAAGCAGCAGATAGGGCTCGAGTCGCCCGCGTGTTGTGGGGAGTTTCGCCGCCGCCGGGGTGCGCTGGCACCAACAACAATAAAAACAACCGCAGCAGCACCACCAACAGCAGCTGTGGCACTGGCAGCAGCAGAAACAGCGGCAAAGGGCGGACAAAAGGGAGCAGCACGTCCAGCGGCAGCAATAGCAGCAGCAACAGCATGGCCAACATCCACCCGCTACCTGTGTTGCTGCGGCTCGGGTGTCTCTGCACTTCTCTGGCCCTTCGGCAAAATGAAGTGACTCCTGGCTTTGATGCAAGACAGTTGACTACCTACGCAACAACTGAGTACTTGCAGCAGCAAAACACTAAGTCTGCTGCAGCAGCAGCAGCAGCCGCAGCTGCAGCAGCTGCTGCAGCAGCTGCTGCAGCAGCTACTGCAGGTTCTGCAGGTGCTGCAGGTGCTGCAGGTGCTGCAGCTGCCAACGTCGCTGTTGCTCACGCTGCAGGGGCGCGGCAGGGAAAGCAAAGGCAACACCAAAAGCGCCAACCGCAGCGGCAACAACACCAGCATCAGCGTCAGCAACAGCAACAGGAACAACCGCTGACAACCCTTGCGCGACTCCCGCTGTTGCGACATACATGCTCCCCCCACCAGTGTCCCGCTTTCTGCCAAGAGCTAGAGATGATGGATCAACAATTGCAGCAACAGCAATTGCAGCAACAGCAGCAGCTACTGAGCCAACAGCAACAGCAACTAATGCTACAGCGCGAGGAGGACAAGCCGACAACTTGGCTGCCCTTTCCCCTCACCGGGTGGCTGGAATTGCATGCGTGGGCGTGCATTAGCAACTTCAGACCAAGACATAAACCAGCAGCAGCAGCGACAGGGGACAGTGGACAACCAGCAACTGCTCCTGCTGCTGTGGTGGGTGACGGAGACATTGCCGCTCAAGCCACCAGCAACAACTTACTGCGGTGGCTTATCGAGGCCATGAAGCTGCGCAGCAGCAGGTACGGAGCGCAATGGCTGCTGCTGCTGCCTGGATCGTGTAGCAGGTGCTGTTGCAGCGGTAGCTGCAGCAGGAGCAACACGACAGCTACCAGCAGTACCAGCGGTAGCAGTTGCAGCAATGGCAGTAGGGACAGCAGCCCCTCCGTAATTCCAGACGAGAGTTCAGGGGACACAAAAGAGGATATGCAACAACAACGAGCTTCCCCTGAGGAGCAACAGCAGAAGCAAACACTTGCAGCAACTGCAGCATCACAGTGTTGCGTGCCTTTACTTCTTCCTCCTCTGCTGCCAGCAGCTGCACAGACTGACTTAAGGGGCGGCAGCTATCTGCCGCAGTTGCTTTTGAAGCTGCTGGTCTCCTCTCCGCATCCTGCTTCTGTTTTCCTCTCACCAGCTGTACATGCAGTTGGCGTGCTGTTGCTGCTACTGCACAGCTATCGCAACAGCAGCAGCACCAAAGTGCAGCAACTTCTTCGAGCAATTGTAGGGGAGACACTGTTGCAGAAAGCCATTGCCGCACTGCAGTCTGTTGCTGCTGCAATTGCCCTTGCTGCTTCTCCCAGCAGCAGCTCGTGCAGCAAATGCGGTTGCTGCTGTCCGCTGCCTCTTCCGGTGCAGCACACTCTGCTGCAGCTGCTGCTAAATGAGAGAATCGGGAGGTTGCCATCGCGTATCGCTACAGCGCGGCGTGCTGCAGCAACAGCTCCAGCTGCAGCTGACGGTGATTCGCTGGGTGCTACTGCTGCTTTAGGGCACGAAGACGACAGCGGCGGCAGCAGCAAGAGGAAGAGAAGGGCTTTATGTAGCAGCGGCAATTTAAACTCGTCCCGTTGCTGCCTTAATTTCGCTTCCGATGCGACTTCAGAAGCCGCCTCTGAAGGAACTGCTACTACTGCTGCTACAGCAGAGGAGCTAAAGCTGCACCAAACCGGCAGCAGCAGCAAACGACCAGCCCCCCAAATCCTTATTATCGCTGAAGACAGTCCTTACCCAAGAAGCGTTTACACTCATTGCGGAACGACAGGCTGCAGCAGCACTCCTACAGCAGCAGCGCACCGACAGCAGTACAACGCCAGCCCATTTTCTCCTTGGGCAAATTGGAGTGTCAATGCAGCTCTCAACAGCAAAGAAGCCTCTAGCCTCCTGTGCAGCCAGTCTCCCTGCTGCTACACTCGCCATGCCAGCACAAACCACAACAGCAACAACAGCAGCAGTAGCAACACCAACTGCAACAACGAAGGAGGGCAGCAGCCAGCACAGACTGGGGCCCGTCCCAGGCGGCCTAGGCGTTGGGATGTAGAAGCCCCCATACAGCAATGAGGTGTATATGCACACCGAATGCTTGCTGCTGATGCTACTGCCAAATCTGGAAAGGTGGAGGCAGCGAGAAAAAGACAATCAGCTGGCCAGGGCAGCTGCAACAGGAGCTGCAGCTCTGGCTGTAGACGTGGCAGCAGCGACGAAATATGTTGCTAGGCTTGCTGCAGCAGTTGCGGCGGCAGCAGCAGCAGCATCGAAAAGGGTAGGAAATTCAACATGTGGAATCTGATGCTGCTGCTGCTGCTGCGTGTGCTGCTGCTGTTCAGGCGTGGCAGCAACAAGCCTATCAGCAGCAGCTCCAGCAGCAATACGCAGCCTTGGGATTCGACTGTTCCCAGCTGTACAACTGCTACAACGGGGCGATGCAGCAGCAGCAACAGCACATGATGATGGCAGCAGCTTACGGGCATCAGCAGCCAATGGATAGCACAAGCACCCTTGGGGGCTGGACGACAAGCAGTGCAGCGGCGGCAGCAGCAGCATCAACATCAGCATCCGCGGCTTCGTGTTTGTCAGGCAGCACCTTATGAGCTGTATAGGAATTGCAGCTGCTCTTGTTTGGCTTAGCTGCAGCTTCAGTGCTCCCCAAAGTGAAGCCTCCCCTGCTGTGCATTCGTCGCTATTGCTGCTGCAACAGCAGCAGCAGCTGCAGCTGCAGCAGTCTTCGTTGTTTCGTTCTCGTGCGTTTTGGCTCTTTGGCGTTGACTATCTTTGTCTTTTCGCCCCTGCTTTTGTTTTTTGTTCGTTGGCATTTGACGTGCAAAATGAGAGGTGCGTGGTGTATATACACCCCGAAAAGGCTGTGCTGCTCTGCAGCCCCACGTGCAGTTGCATGCAAGCCTGCATGCATGCAAGCCCCAGGCAGCCGCATGGGCACTTGACAGTATTAGGCCGTGCAGGGCTTGTTTTGCTTATTTTGGGGCTGCATGCATTTGGGGAAAGACAGTTAAAGGGATTTGACTCAACGGTAGCCCGCCAGTTTGCCGGGCAGATGAAGGGGAAGAAGACACAATGAGACAAAAATAAGCATAGAGAGACACACAGGGAGACGAAACGGAGACAGAGAAGAGGCAATGAGACAAGTACAAGACAAAGATAAAAAGGGACAGGCACGAACCGAAATAATGCACAGACGAACGGTTAAAGCGCCTGCTGAGACACCAGAGACAGCACAGAGTAGCAGAGACAACACAGCAAAGTTATGATAGGCCGAGACAGCAGGGACAGGAAGGACGAAGGAGACAGCAGACGGCAGAGACAACAGATCACAGGGATAGCAGAGGCAACACAGAATAGCTCTGCTGTGTCTGCTGTCTCTGCTGTGTTTTTCTTGCTGAGATAGCAGAAGCGGCACAGATAGCAGCGACAACAGATACAGCACAGGCAGCAAGAGCAGCAGAGATAGCAGAGAAACCAGGGACGGCAGAGAGCAGCAAAGACAGCATAGACAAAGGGCATCACAGAGGCAGACATAACAGATTATCGAGGGAGCAGAGACAAAGACAAACAAAACAGACTGGCGTGCATAGGCGAAGAGGAGGCAGCAGAGGCAACAGAACCCGGAAGAGGCAGAATTAGACAAAGGGAGGGTGGAAGGAACAACAAATATGGACGATATGCTCGAGGCAACAGATACAGTAAAGGCAGAAGAGAGGAGACAGGTCATTGACAGTTTAGAGGAGGCACGGCAGGTACATTAGACCCACCGGAGATTGAAACACACTGGAAACACTGGACTCAGCAAGAAGGAGAAGCGCAGCGGTGTGCAGCATGCACAGACATGTCTCTGCTGTCTCTTTGCATCCCATTTGTGTCTGTCTGTGTACATATCTAAAGAAAACCTGATAAAGGAGGCGAGGGCAAAGGAGACGTGGAGGGCGGGATCTACACAGGCAATAAAAAAGGCAGACAGGGGAAGAGAATGGGACAAATGAAGAAAAGGCGGGATACAAGCCAACAGGAGGCAGACTTACAAATAAACAGATAAAACCAAGAGGAAGATAGAAGGGCAAAAACAGAAAAACATGAATAGAGGAGGCGGTAGAGGCAGAGAAACGACACGCAATGCCAACAACGAAACAGGCACACACATGGAGACAGAGACGGGCAGAGACAAAAGGTGACAAGTAAGTGAAGGGGGGACTCGGGACTATGAGGCCGTTGGGTAGCGATCGTACAGAGGCAAAAGGGGACATGGCTGATAGAAGACTACACGTAAAAGATATATATGGAAGGATGCAAGAGGGAAGAGCAGGAAGACGCATGGAGACAGGGGAAGGGAGCGTGACGTAGTAAAGGTGAAACAAAGAAAACAGGAGTCACAATATGCGGACGCGGCAAAAGACAAACCAAGGGAGAGGAAATGGGGGACAAGAGGTACGAAAAATCTTACATAGACCGATACAGCAGCAGAAGCAGCAACTGCAATAAAAAAGGCAATAGCCGATATACTTATGTGAAGAGATGCAGCTGGTGCAGTATCTTTCATGCTGTGGGGCGTCCCACACAACCAGCAGCCAGAACAGCAACAGTAGAATCAGCAGAAGCAGCAGCGGCAGCAGTTGCACCTTGGAAAAGCAGCCATCCAACGGCTTAGACAAAAGAAAAGACAAGGTGTATATACAGTCAAAGGTGGTGGATGCCAACAAAAAAAAGAATGCAGCGGAGTGCACCAGCAGAGGCAGCAGCGGCAGCAGCAGAGGCAGCGTTGCTCCTTATATGTTGTCCCTAAGGACCAGGAGGTGATGTCTGTCTCCGCCAACCCTACTGCTTGCTGCTGCTGCTGCTGCTGCTGCAGAGGCAGGCAGTAGCCTGAGCTTTCAAGCAGCAGTAACAAGGTGTAACATGCAGCAAAGAAGCTGCAGCGGCCGCGAAGCTGCAGCTGCAGCAGGGCAGCAACTGTGTCATTGAGGGGCATATGTATATGTGCGGATTCGCGTAGCTGAAGCAGCAACAGCACGAATCAACACAGTTGTTGGATTCTCGACTATCTGAGGGATCTCCAACAGCAGCTCAGTCTCCTACTGGTGCTGCCGCTGTCGCCACCTCAACGTCTGCTGTCTCGTATATTACTGCAACAGCGATGGCTTCGGGAGAGCTGTCACTTTTTGCCGCTTTGCTCGCTCTTTTGTCCTTCCGCTGGTTCTGCAGCACCTGCGGCTGCAGCTGCTTCTTTTGGGCGCTGCTGTTCTTTGTAGTCCGGGTCACTGCTTCGAGCATCAGGAGCTGACTCCTTGACCGACTTTGCAGGGGCTTCCTCTGACTTTTCTGCCGCTCCTTCCTCTGCAGCTGCTTCTTCCGGTGCTGTCTGACCTACTTGGGGCTCTTCCGTCTCCTGTTTTGGCTTTGCTGCTGCTCTTCCTCCAGCTGCTGGGTGGACTGGTGTTTTCGCGCTTCTTTCCTCTTCTGCAGCTGCTTCCTTCTTCTCTTTCTTCGCTCCTGGAGTGTCCTTTGCTGCAGTGTCTGTCTCCTGACTGTCTTCTTTGGCGGCGCCGGACTTATCTGCCTGCTGCTGCTGCTGCGTCTTGTCTCCTGCTTCTTGTTTTGCATCTTCCTCAGGAACCTCTGCTGATCTCGGCGAGGTTGGAGGGGGAAACCAACCCGGGTTATCCCGAGCCACCCAGTCAGGACGAGGGCCTGCATGCGCAAATTAGGGATTAGGGTTTAGGGTTTAGTCTTCAGGTGGGGGCAGACACTGTGACGGCCACAACAGGCACACCCGACCCTATGTAAACCGAATTTCTAAGCCCTAAAACCTAAAACCTAACCGCTGACCTGGCGGCATGCCGATTATGGGGAGAGACCTGCGGTTATCTACCATGAGAAGAGCAAACCGCGTCAAAGAAGGATGCTGCACCAAATGGTCATGGAGACAGTCGTAGTAAACAACCTGACGCAGCAACTCTCGACTCTCGCCGTCCGCCAAGTCATTGCGAGCCAGCGTATGAATAACCTGCAGCAACAGCAACAGCAGCAGCAGCAGCAGCAGCAGCGGTGGCAGCAGCAGCGGATAAAAACAATCGCGTGTCAAAAGGGCATCAGCAGCAGCAAACCAGATAGCAGCGGCTGGCCACACTGTAGCAGCAGCGTAAGCGGCAGCATTGGCAGCTGCGGAAGGCACTAAGAATTTTACCCCTCTGTCGAAGACAATGGGCTGCTTATCAAGGTCGATTCCATTCCAAGTGGGTAACTGCCCTCTTCTTCCAACTCTTCCTGGGTTTCCATGCAACACCGGCACAGAAGTACCAGGGACCATATTCTGAACGCGGCCTAAGGCCGTCAGCCGCCTGAAACACCAACAAACCCTAGCAAACCCTCATAAACCCTAAGAAACCCTCATACATCCTACGAAATCCCTGTAACCCATCGTAAACCCAAGGAGATCGTAGGGAACACGCCTAAACCCTAAAACCCAAAAACCAAAACCCTACCCTATAAGTTTGAGGACATTCCTCTGGTTCTCTGGGCGAGCAAGAGCCTTAGCCAGACAGGGAGGGGGTCGGCCTCCTTGAAAGTCTCTCGCCTTGTCATCGGGAACAGCGAAGAAGGTTAATGGGCAAGGAACCAGCTGCTGGATGCTCGAAGTCTTCAACATCGATTCAAACAGAGTCAAATCCTGCTCACACGGACATCCAAACCCTAAACCCTAAACCGTAAACCCCAACATGCAAAACCACAAAAGCACGCTGGCACGCAACACGCAACAACGTGCACAAACAGGAAAGCCCATTGCTACCCAAGCTCGGTCCTAGGGTTTTGTGGTAAGGCCTTAGCAACATCCAGGGCCTAGGGATTACGATTGGGGGTCGAAGGCCTAAGGTCTATGCCAAGCGAATCCTGGGTTTTGGAGTGCATTTCGGGGTTTGGCTTTTAGATTCCTGTGGTTCAGGGTTTAGGGTTTAGGGGTACCGAGCGGGAGCGCAAGATGTCGCCGAGCGTGGGGATGCCCTGGGGAGGATTTGCAGTCACTCTGCAAGGCAGATTTGCGGGCTGCAGCAACAGCAATAGCACCAGCAACACCAACAGAAGCGGGATCAGCAGGCGGCGGCAGCAGCAGGAGGCACCGTTCGCAGCAGCAGAAATGCACCTTCCTAAAGCTGTAGAGTAGATGACAACAGCGGCAGTAACAGCAGCAGCAGCAGCAGCAAGTGGGGTGACAAAGATAATCAAGCAACAGCCTGTACAAGAGTAAGGAGCAGCTTGAAGACCAGGCTTTAGAAGCCAGCAGCAACAACAGCAGTAGCGTGGGCTAACATCTGGGTTTCCTCCGAGTTGCTGCTGCAGCTTGGGGAGAAGTGAAAAGAGTTCCTGTGGAGCGACGGGGCTGAAACTTTCTGCAACACCAACAGGCCAGTAGTCCCCTTCTGCTGCTGCAGCACTGTGATCTTTGTCTGCTGCACTGTCTCCTTCCGCGTCTGCCCCACCGCCTCCATGTCTATCTTTAGATTCCATAGGTGTCTCCGTCTCTGTCTTGAGGGGGTCATAAGCTGCTGTTGGCAGGCCCATGCAACCCATGCAATTAGCAGCGTTGTTTGAAGTCTCGCAGCAAGGAGTAGGGGCCCCCATTGGGCCCCTTTCTAAACCATGGACCCCAGTCTCTACAGACACAAATGCCCCTCCAGTCATCTGATTGCCCCACAAACTCCATGCGCGATACAGTGTTGCTCCAGGGGGCTGCATGCATACACAAATGCAAACCAACACCGGCCGCTGCTGCTGCTTCTGCTGTTGCTCCTAGTAGGTGTCGAGTCTCAAAGGGCTTCAGCACCAACAAAACCCAGTGTGGGTAAGCGATTAAGGACAATAACATACACACTGGGGACCAAGGTCCCTTAGGGTTGAGGGTTTAGGGTTTATGGCGGTTTAGTAGTGAATATGGTTCAGGGTAAGGGTTTAAGGTTTACTGGGGTGTATGGGGTGCTGGGGACAACGTCGCAGATGGCTCTTCCGCCTGGCTGCGGTTTGCATGCAAGGAGAAGGGGCCCCATGGGGTAGTGATCTCCATAGCCAGAGAAATAAACAGGAGTCCAAGCTCTGGTGGGGGGGAACGGACCCCTAAAATGGACACGAGTTCTGCTGCTGCTGCTGCTGCTGCTGTTGCTGCTGCTGCTACTCTTTTGGGTTCGGTGCTCGCGATCAATCAGCCCTTCGCTCCAGTCCGGAACCTCCAGCGGTGGGGGGGGGCCTAAAGCCCTCAAGCCCTCAGCGGCAAGCCCCTCCAAGACCTCAAGCATTTGTCGCTCAGAAGGCTCATCTGCTGCTGCTGCTGCTGCTGCTGCTGCTGCAGTCTCCGCGAAACTTTCGTGATCTGCTGCCCCAGCCGTTGCTCCCTCAACCAACTCGCTCCTCGACTCCCCCACAGCAGAGCTGCTGCAGCAGCACCAGCAGCAAAACCCCAACAGCCCAAGCAGCAAAAGCTGCTGCTGACGGCTTTGAGAGGCCCCCATCATCCAAGACCCTAAACGCCACGCCTGCATGCAAAAATAAACAGGCTATAGGGGACCGAAGTCGTGTACCTCCAAGGGGGCTTTGTAGGTTTTGAGGGATTTTTAGGGGTTCTAGGCAGGGACGAGGGAATCAGAATTCACTGCAATTTTCACTAGCTTTTATTGCTTTAAAGGTTTAGTGTTTAGGGTTTATTTGAGCCAACGGTCTATTAGAGTGAAAGGTATATTGGAGTCAAGGGTTTATTAGAGTCTATTGCCTGAGTGTGTAGGAAAAAGCTTGCCTGGCGGCAGGCGGCGGTCTGGAGTTAAAACCCTAAATCTCTTATGCTGCAGCAGCGGAAGAAAGCCAAGAGAAATTGGGAATAACAACTGTAAAGAATTAAAGGAGATGATGATGGGGGAGAGGGGAAAGAGGAGACGGCAGTCAGCGGGGAGCCAACAGCAACCTGGATGAACAAATAGACCAGTGGTCACCTGCAGCAGCAGCGCCAAGTCAATATACCGACACAAGTATTCAACAAAGGGACAAATAATATAAGTGCAACCAACTAATGATGACTGAACACATATAAATACACACACTCGGCTTCTAAAGCAGCAGAGAGAGAGACAAGGAGCCCGTAGTAGCGCCGCCCTCCGCCGCCGCCGCGCAGTTGCGGTGCATGTATGTTGCAGACAGCCCGTGTCAGTGACCCTCCCAGGTTTTTGGCACCCTTAGCTCCTTTTCAAAATAAAAACAGGATTTTCAACAAATTATTTTTATTTATAATTATATTTTGAGACCCGTATCAGAAAACCACAGAATCTTGTACCTCGTAACGCCTCCTGCGACTCCTCTAACAACCTGCCACCGTAAAAGCTCTATACAAATTCGAAGCCATAAAAACCCTATAGCCACAACACCAAATCCTGTAATAAGCTGTAAATCGACCACTATACATCCTAAACTGAATAGACATATGCCACACTACCCTAAATCGTCTATCTTACAACCTAGAGGCCCATTCAGGGACCCGAGAACCTCAATCGCAAACCCCAACCCCCAGTCCCCAACTCATATCCCCTGAAACGTAAACCTTAAATACAAATTATTGATGGCTAAAGCGTCGAGGTTGAGGCGATAGGCACAAACCCTCTACCTCAAATTAAACTATACGGCTCCACAGCTGCTGCGCTCCGGCCTGCCCGCTGAGGTGTACAGGCCGGTACGCCAGGCAACAAGGGCCCTTTTGAATAAAGCTGCGAGGCAAACATGTGTACGTCAGCAAATGCTGCTGTTGCGTCGGCTGCCACTGCTGATGCTGTCGCTGCCGTGCCGCACACACCAATCTGCACACACCTCGGTTGCAGCAGAGATGTTAGGCTTTGGCTAGCTCCTGCTAACTACAACAGCTAGCTACAGCAGGTGCCTAAGACGGCACCCAGCAACACAAACTGTATAACGAGCAGTGTGGTCGATCCCGCCGGCTGCACATGGGCAACAACTACTGTGGCCCTTTCAAGGGCCATTGTAGTAGAAGCAACAACAGGAGCAACAGCAGCTACTTGTACAACGGGAGATGCACCACTTATATGAATCGGAACAACTGAGTGTTCAAGAGAAAAGAAGCCCGTATAGAATGCTGGCGATAGTTGCTTCTGCTGCTGCTGCTGCAGTGCAGCAGCGGGAGCATTGCGGAGACTCTTGGTGTCCTTTCTGAATTTCTTTTTTACAGCAGGGTGTATTTAAATCGAAAAGAAAAGCCGCGGATTTAATCGTAGGCACGAGCTGCTGCTGCTGATGTTGATGGCGTTGCTAGTATCTAGATTCTTGCAAGTAGCAAAAGGTCTCCTCCTTCGACCACCAGGCTGCTGCGCCCTCCCAACTGAAACACTGCTGCTGTCTTGCTGCTGTTATCACCTCTTCGGGTGTCTCTGCCGTCTCCTTTGCTGGTGCCGAGAAGGCGCGAGAGGGCATTCGAAGACCCAGCCCCTGATGCTGTTGCTGCTGTTGCTGCTGTTGCTGTTGTTGCTGCTGTTGATGCTGTGCTGCCGCGGCCAGACCAGGAAGCAGACAAACCCCGAGGCATTACTGCTGCTGCACTGACATCAAGCTGATGCAGCAGTACGGGGCCCCCCTCTCCTAGCCCCACAACCGACCAGCAGCGCAGCACCATATCCCCACCACCACACCCTCCGCTGCTGTTGCTGCTGTTACCTGCAGCTGAGGCAGCAGTAACAAGCCATACTTCCGGGGCAGCACTGCTGCAGCTGCATGCTCGGGAGACAGAAAGAGACAATAAAGCAGCTCCTTTGTGTGCACTCCATCGCAGCACTTCTTCTTCAAGTCCCAAATCAACTGCATGCACTGTGCCTTCTTCATCTCCGTATACGACGCAGCGTAGTGCAGCACAACTACCTCCGCAGCAAGTTGCTGTCAAGTCACCACTGCAGCAGCTGCCTGTACATCCCGCTGCAGCAGCAAGACATGGCCTGCAGCAAGCTGGACCCTCCTGCAGCACTGCCAAGCAGAAGCACGTGGGGGTGTGCGTTGCCTCAATCGACCACGTGCTGCAACCTCCTTGAGCTGCTGCTGCTGCTGCTTGCTTTTTAGATGTTCTTGCAGTAGGAGGCGCAGCTGCAGCAGCAAGACGAGCTCGCGTGTGCAGCAAGTCGTCGCAGGTGATGACAGACACCAGGCGAGGTGCCCCCGCGGGCCCCACGCCTGCCAGCTGCCACACACAGAGACAGGGCCCCCCAATTGATGGCATGCTGCTGCAGCGTGGGGCTCCATCAGGTGTACATACACCTGAGCGCTTCCCTGCCTCCATATCGGCTGCAGTAATGCTTCCAAGTCCCCACAAACTCGCAGCCCAGCTGGTCGAGTCCAGCCAGGCGTCCTCGTCGCCCCCTCCTTCCTGCTGCTCCTGCTGCTGTTGCTGCATTTGTTGTTGTTGCTGCTGCTGCTTCTGTGAGTGCTTTCCTACCGCTGCTGCTGTTGCTGCTGCTGCCTTCGAGCCACCCCCAGCCGAAATAGGGCCTCCAAAACCCTTCAAGATGCCGCGGGGGCCCCTTGCAGAGACCCTGAAGGCGCGTGCCCTCCACGAGAGGGCACGAAGGGCCCCCCCAACGAGGGGTGCTGCTGGGGCGGTTGATGCGTTCCGCCGCTGATGCTGCTGCTGTTGCTGCTGCAATGCTGCAGCAGCAGGAAACTTGGGGCCAAAGAGGCGCGAGTGCAGCACCCGCGACATAAATCCCTCTTTTGCTTGACCGAACAGCTTTAAAGGCCTCTTTTTCCCGCGTCCTTCCTTCCAGTTACCCCCTTTGCTGCTGCTGCTGCTGCTACTGCTGCTACTGTAGTTGCAGCCAGCAGCAAGGGGCGCTGCTGCATCGTCGCAGGCCGTCTCTCCCGATCCCAGCCGCTGCAGTAGGCTGCGAGGAGCAGCAGCACCAGCAATTAGCGAGGTGTTCTGCTGCAGCAGCTGCTGTGGCACTCCGATGCCTAACGTAATTGCGAAGGCCCCGCTGCCGTCTGCTGCTGCAATTTGCTGCGTCATGTGGTGGGGCTTCCAGCAGACCGCAGGTCTGCATGCACGCTGCTGCTGCAGTTCATGCCCGCCACGGCTGTTCCTGTTGTTGCTGCTGTTGCTGTTGCTTATGCCTGCCGTGCTACTGTCTGCTGCAGCCGCCCTTGCTGCAGCAGCAGCAGCAGAGGCACTCACAGCCTCAGCCACTACAGAAGGAGACAGAAGAGGACCTCGAAGGAGGCAGAAGAGAAATGCCCAGCCAGAGGAGTCCGACACAAGGAGACTATCTCCTTGAGGCACCCAGGCAGCACATGTTACTTGGCTTGCTGCTGCTGCTGCACCTGCTCCAGCCGGCTGCTGTTGCTGCAAACGCAACAGAAGCGGCAACGTCTGTAGCCCCCTCTTCCCTGAATGCTGTCGCTGCTGCTGTTGCAGCAGCAGCTGCTGCTGCTGCACTTCTGCTGGTGGCCGTTCTAAGGTGTCCAGGCGTTGAAATCCTGCCGCGCTTGTTTCCGATGCTGCTGCCGAAGGAGGCGCAGCAGAGTTAGCTGCAGCTGCATGCGCATACGCAGCACTAGCAGCACTAGTGGTGTCAGAAGGACCTGCTGAATTTGCAGGAGCAGCAACAATAGGAGCAGCAGAAGGAGCCGCAGAGGGACCCCTCGGCAGGCTCCGAGCCCCCAAACCAAAAGAACGAAGCACCGGGGTCAGGACTGGTGGGCCGCCCTGCTGCTGCTGCTGTTGCTGCTGCTGCTGCGATGCTCGCAGCAATACGGCGAAGACAGGAAGGAACGGGTGAGCAGCAACAACACCCGTAAACTCAAATGCAGCACGCATTGACGACAAAGGCGAAAATATTCCATAAGGAAACACAAGGTTGCTCTTGCTGCTGTTGTTGCTATTGCTGCTGCTGCTGCTGCTGCTGTCAGTGACGCGCGCCAGCAAACGGGAGTATGAACAAAGCCGCGAGGTCTGAGTTACGGTGTATAGGGATACATCTCGAGATAACAACAACCCCACCCACTCAGCTAGAGATGTAACACAGGTCTGCTGCTGGTGGTGGTGGTGGTGGTGCCGCTGCTGCTGCTGAAGCTGCAGCTGCTTGTGGTGCTGGTGCCGTTGCTGCTCGCGGTCATAGCTGTTCTCCCGTGTAACACTGATGGAAGATGTTACTGCTCCTCCTGCAGGGCTTGCTGCTCCTGTTGCTGGTGCTGCTGCTGACTTCGAAGCAAACAGAGGCCGGCGGGAGCTCAGTAAGTAAGGAAACGCACCACCAGGCCCGCATGCATCCGTCATCAGGGGGAGCTGCAGCAGCTGCTGCTGCTGGTGTTGCTGTTGTAGCGACTGGTACTTGACAAGCCTCGCCACGTCTGCGAAGCGAGCTTCCGCTGCAGCAGCAGCAGCGGCAAGGGCAGCAGCAGAACGCATGCTCTCGTGATTGGCAAGCCCCAATAGAGAAGGCGGTAAAGAAAGAGCTCGGATACCCCTAGGAGGCCCTTCAGGTGTACATACACTTACAACAACCTCCCCTGATACTGCGAGGCCTGCAGGGCTGCTGTGCCTGCTGCTGCTGCTGCTACTGCTGGCTGCTATCACCGGCCCAAGCAGCGCAGCAACAGGCAGCATGGCCCAATCCCGACCAAAGGCGGCTAAAGCTGCCATGCTGGCTTCATCCTGTTGCTCCTGCTCCTGCTGCTGCTGCAGCGGCTCCTGCTGCTGCCGCTTCAGCGGCCCCAAACTGTGGCTTTGCCGGATGACTTCGAAGGCGTTACTGCAGCTGTTGCTGCTGCATGCAGCCTGAAGGATGCAGCCTGGGAAGAGAGCAGCGGCAACAACGGGAATGGCTGGCATCGGGGTTGCTGCTAGCATGTGTTCCGCTAAATGACTCGATATTACTTGCTGCAGCTGCCGCTCCTGCTGCTGCTGCTGCTGGTGCAGCTGGCCCTTTTCTTGAGGAGGGAAACAGCTGCTAAAGCGCCTACTGGAACCTTTGGGTGTGGGGCTGTGGCAAGACGGGGTGGCTGCGTGCCTGTCTGCTGCTGCTGCTTCTGCAGCTGCAGCGTCGGACTCGTGCTGATGCTGCTGATGCTCCTTCTGCACAGGGTTGCCGTGCTGATGCTGCTGTTGTTGCTGCTGCAGTTCATGCGCTTCCATACGAGGGCCTTGCGCATGCCCTGCAGAGTGCTGATGACTGTTCTGTTGTCCATGGTGGTGATGATGATGATGTCGTTCTTGCTGCTGCAGCTGTAGCGGCAGCTGTAGCTCCTGTTCGTGGGGCTGCTGCTGCTGCTGCTGCTGAGTTCGATTCTGTCTACTAGCCAGATGCCTTACAGCCTGCACAAGAGCGTCTCGGTGCAGCAGCGGCCGCACCAAGGCAGCAGATGGCGGCTGCTGCAGCGGGAGGAAGGATGTCTGCTGCAGCGCCCACTGCAACCTGCGGCAGCAGCACAGATCACTCCAGAGCAACCCCAACCCTTCCCCTCCCCAGCTCTCTGCCGCTGCTCGGAGCATGGATGACCTCTTCCCTGCGGCTGCTCCTGATGGTGTTGCTACTCCTGCTGCTGATCCTGCTTCTGCTGCTGATGGAGCATGACTGTTCATGCACCACAGCAGCGGCAGCAGCCCTGCTGCAGCAGGCAGCAGCGCCCTCATAAACACGGGCCGCAGCTGCGTTCCTAAAAACTCCACCAAAGAACTGCTTAAGCAGGCCAAGCTTCCACATATAGAATGCGCCTCTTCTGCTGCTGCTGCTGCTGTTGCTGCTGTGGCTGCTGCTGAGGAGAGGGATATTTGCCCGCCCTGCATAATACTCGCGCAAGAGTTAAACTGTAAGCTTCCCCCTGCACTGGGTCTCGCCAAATACTGCTGCTCCTGCTGCTGCTGCCGCTGCTGCCGCTGCTGCAGCTGCAGGAATCCCTGCTGCGCTCGCAGTGCCACCGCTGTCCGCCTTGCTTCTGTTTGTATGTTGCCAAGTACGTCAATAATAAATTCAAGCATTTTAACTGCAACACACGCAGCAAGGGCAAAAGCAGGAGCAGACGTTGCCGCTGCTGCTGCTACTCGCCCTCTTGATGCACCAACTGCAGCGCCTACACTAGCATGGAGAACCCATCGGGGCTGCAACAACTGGTGCAGCACATGCAGCACATCCTGCTGCAGTAGCACACATCGCGGCCGGGAGAGAAGCAGCTGCAACACTGTCGCCGCCTGGTGTACGAGCACCAACATCTTGTCTTCTTCCCAGTGTGTGTTGCTGCTGCCGCTGTTGCTGCTGCTGCAGCTGTTCGCTCGTGGTGGACCGGCCGCTTGGTACTTGCTGCTGCTGCTGCTGATGCTGCTTCTGCGTGGTGTGGCGACCCCTTCTGGAGGTACAGCTGGAGCTGCTGCTCCGGTTGCTCCTGCTGCAGAGGGTGCCTGCTGCAGCAGCAAACCGGCATCGGTAGAGAAGACTGAAGGCATCGAAGCAACTATGCTCAGCAGCAAGCCGCAGCAGCAAACAGCAGCAATGCTGTACAGCCGCCGCAGTTCCAGCAGCGACAGGGCGCCATCAACGCAGCTGCACCCGTTGCTGTTGCTGCTGCTGCCGCCGCAGTTGGACCCGCTGCTGCAGCTGCAACAGCGGCAGCAGTTCTTCTGCAGCTGCTGCTGCAGCTCGCCGACGCACGATGTAAGACAGCAATATAGCGCAGGGACACACAGCACTTTGGGGTGTATAGATGGCATCTCCAGGGTGTCGCGCAGCAATTGCAACAGCAGCGGCAGCAGCAGCGGCGTGCAGAATTTGTAAGCCTCATCATTATCTTCAACATCAGCAGCAGCAGGACAGGTGTAGACAGGGTGTCTTGTGAGTCCCGCCAAGTCAACAGACAAGTTGCAAGGCCACTCTAATTGCTGCTGCTCCTGCGACTGCTGGTGATGCTGCTGATGCTGGTGCTGCTGCAGCACAGCAGCTGTGGCAGCAGCAACCCTGCGGGCCTCTGCTGCAGCGTCTGTTGCTGCCAGCAGTTGCCCGTAAGATAACTTCAGCAGCAACGAGGAGACAGACAGCAGCACGCCGTCCGTCTCTTCGGGTGTCCCTCCTAATGTTGCTGCCTCTGCAGAGCCTAGCGCTGCTGTGGAGGAAGAGGGAGAGGCGGCACTCCTTGCCGCTGCTGCAGCTGCAGCTGCTGTTGTTGCTGCTGCGGCGGCAGAAACACGACGCGGCCCACGTTGCTGCTGCTGTTGCTGCTGCTGCATTTGCTGCAGCTGCTGCAGCAGGTCAAACAATGCAGCATGAACTGCCAGCGGGCACTGCAACTGCAGCGCAGCGTGGTCATCGTTGCTGCTGCTGCTGCTGCTGTCGCTGCTGCTCCTCTTGTTGCTCTGGACTGCTGAGGCAGCAGCAAACGGTGCAGCAGCATAGCCACACAGCAAAAGCGACAAGCGCGAGACTGCCTGCTGCAGCTGCTGCTCCTGGGTCTTTTTGCTGCTGTTGCTGCTGCTGGATTGTCGCCTCCACGCCAAGGACGCAGCAGCAAGTCTGCTGCAGGGCCAATCTTGCGGCGGCAGCTCCCGTGGCAGATACAGCGCCTCCTGCAGCTCTTCTGCTGCTGCTGCTGCTTCTGCTGCTGCAGCTGTTGGCGAAGAAGGGGCCGCTGCACTGCAGCAGGGAGACAGCAAACATCGTGACAGTAGCGCCCTCCTGTTGCTGTTCAACCCCGAGAGCAGCGGCGGCAGCAACAGCAACGCGGCTTGGCTGTATAGCTCAATGCTCTTCTCTAGAGAAGCAAGCAGCAGCAGCAAAGGATTCTCAGCTGCTTCTGACGGTAGACCCTCCGGCTGCCGCTGGTGCTGCTGACGGTCGAGCAGTGGCAGCTGCTCGTGCTGATGTAACTGCTGCTGTTGGCTGTCTGGTGCGAAGCCTTGAAGCGCTGAGACGACAGTGTAGCCGTTTCTGGTGTTGCTGCTGTTGTTGCTGCTCTCCGCTGCAGAAGCAGCTGGCCGCCAGGCGGCCGCAGTTAGCAGCAGCAGGAGACTTGGCTGGAGGTCAAGGAGACTCGTCACATTTGGTGCGGGCCCAACTAGCTGCCGTTGCTGCTGCTGCAGACTAGAAGAAGCACAGAGCAGCGGCTGCGCTGCAGCAGCAGCAAACGCATGCAGAGCACCCCACACAGTAGGCAGTGCAGCGTCTGGCAGCAGTGGCTGCTGCTGCAGGGGAGCAGCAGGAGAGGTACCATTTGCTGCTGTATCATCCCCTAAGACTTTTGAAGCGGCCTGCCGTGCTGCTCTTAGAGACAAAAGAGACACAGCAGCAACAGCAGCAAGGAAAGGCTGCCTCTCTCGGGTGTACAGGCAGCTCAGCATGTACATATCGCTCTCTGCTGCACCTGCTGGGTCCACAAAACCCCACCAGCAAATGCGACACTTATGCGGGCTGCTGCTGCTGCTGCTGCTGCTGCCTGTTCTTTGCAGCTCAAGAAGAGGTACAGAGAAACTGTCTCTCCAAGGGACCCTACCGCTGCTGGTGCATGCACCATCAGCTGGGCTCCCCCATTGCCTGCTGCTGCTGCTGCTGCTGCTATTGCTGCTGCTCCTTCGGCTGAATATGTTCAGGCTGCTCTTGTCCTCAGGCCCAGCGAAAGGATCCAGGAAAGACTCCTGCTGCTGCTGCTGCTGCTGCTGCAGCAGGTGCTGCTGCTGCTGCAGGTGCTTCTCCTTGTGCGTTTGCTGCGCTCTGCGCACAGGCAGAGTTTGCCTAATTGCCAATCGAAATAAAGAAAGAGACAAAGAAGGCAAAGAGACCCTCCAGCACCCTCCCTCATACACTCCCTCCTCCTGTGCTGCTGCTGTTGCTGTTGGTAGTGCTGCACCGTCCGCTGCACCGCCCCACAACGGCCTCCCCTGCTGGTGCTGCTCAATACCCTGCAAATATGTGCGCGGGTTGAAGGGGAGAACTTCATGCTGCTGCTGCTGTTGCTGCTGCTGCTGGGGCTGTTGTTGCTGCTGCTGTTGCTGCTGTTGTTGTTGCTGCGCACATGCATAGGGAGGCAGTAACGCCTCAAAGGCTTGGGTGTAATGCCCTGCTAGCCAATAGCACAAGAAACGCAACCATATGTCCCCTGCTGCTTCTGCCTGCGGCAGCAGCCGCTGCAGCAGCACCCTGCGGTACTCAGCAGCAGGGGACCCATCGAAGGCCAGGGGAGACGGGGGAAGGCCTCCACGCATGTCTGCTGCCTGCGCAGCAGCAGGAGCAGGAGCACCAGCATCTGCATCAGCAGCAGGTTTTGCCGGTGGTGCTGCTCCATCTGCTGCATCGGCAGAGGGCAGCAGCACCTGTTGCTGCCGCTGCTCCTGCTGCTGCTGACCACCCCATGGTTGCGAGTCTGTCCCCAAGGGAGGAGACTCAGGCGAGGAGACAGCAGCACCAACTCTGCAGAGAAAGAGGGCAAGCTGCGTGTCTTTCAGCACCCTGCAACACAACAACAGCAGCAGCAGCAGGACCAGGAAGCGCCTAATAGTCTCCTTACCATCAAGGAAAGCCATGCCAGCAGGAATAGAAGGAGCAGCAACAGGCACAGCAGCACGAGCAGCAGCAGGCAGCCTCGAATGTTGTCTAGTAGCTGCTGGCGGATTTGCTTGACTGTATAGCAGCAGCAGCATGACCAACATAAACACCGTCAACCTTATCAACGACAGCAGCAGCAACATCAGCAGCAATAGCAGCAGCAGCGGACCTGCAGCAGACATCAGCTATTTCTCTATAGCTTCCAGCAAGAGAAAAGAAGGCCAACGCCATGCAACAGCGGCGATGAGTTAACAATTGAAATCCATTCTTCTCTGCTGCTGCTCTCCATCGAGCATCAATAGCAGCAGATGTTAAGAAGGCAGCAGCCTGCATGCAACAGCAGCAGCAACAGCAGCGGCAGCAACAGTGGGAATGCAAGTAGTACTAGCAGCAGCAACACGAAATAAACCCAAAGAGACAAAATGCAAAAGAGGGTCGTTGCTGCAGCTGCTGCTTGCGCTGCTGCTTCTGCTAGTGCATGCAGTGGCGCTGCTATTGGGGCACGCATTGTTGCTGCTGCACGTGATCCTTGTGCTGCTACTTCTGCTTCTGCTGTTGTATCGTGCTTACCTTTGCGTTTCCTTGCGCCTTGAGGGAGGCAACGATGAGGCCCTTCTTGCCGCTAACTGCTGCCCATAAGGCAACTAGGTCACCAGCACTGCCTGCTGCTGCTGCTGATGCTGCTGCAGACGAAGCAGCCTGGTGGGGCCCAGCAGCAGCACTGCTGCTTGCAGGCTTGAAAGGACTTGATGTCTCGGCCAGTCCCTTGAGACATAATCCCCCTTGTTGCTGCTGCTGTTGCTGCTCTGCTGCTGCTGCTTTCACTGCATCCTGCAGCAGCAGCTCGCACAGCTGGCGGACAGTCGAAGGGCTGCGCAGCCAGAAGCCAACGCCACGCTGAAGCAGAAACAACAGGAGCACAAGCAGCAGCAGCACAGGCAGAAGAAAAACATGCAGGACGAGTCCCCTGAACTATAATAACAGTGGCTGCTGCAGCAGCACACAGCAGCAGCAACACTACAATTATGTGCATGCAGAAGGCAGCTCGGCACAGTGATAAGCCACAAGAGGCTGCTACAGCAGCTGCAGCCATAAAGCGCAGCAGTCCAAATACCAGAAGCAGCAGCAACACAAGCAGCAGCAACAGCAGCACGAAAGCTGCAGATACACCGGAACAAGCTGAGCATACCCGACGAAGGAGGGGCCAAGTAAGGCGGCCTTCAGGGTGTGCTGCTCGCGCCTGCTGCACGACTTGCTGCAGCAGATCTTCTTCTGCTGCTGCATGCAGACACCAGCAGATATCTTCGCTGCTCAGAAGTGCTGCAGCAGGCACAGCTGGCACTGCTGCAGCAGCAGCAGGACCCGCAGCACCACCAGCAGCAGAACTTGGTGATAACGGATGCCTAACGGACGAAACATAACTACTAGGAGAAAGAGACGAATATAGTGGACCCTTCGCCTGCTGCTGCTGCTGCGCGTAAAGTTGCTGCTGATCCTCCTCAGACACCGCAACCTCCGCCTCCTGCAGAAACACACGCACAATACAATAGCAGCAGATGCACCTCCATAAACAGCAGCAGCAGTACCAACAGCAATAAAGGCACAGAAGAGGGAGCATCAACAGCAGAGGCAAGAGAAGCAGCAGCAGCAGCAGCAGTTGTAGTAACCCACCCGCAACACGAGCAAGGAGGTGTAGAACCGCTGGCGGCTGCTGTCGGTGCTGCAGCTCTGCGAGATGCCTTCTGCTGCTGCTGCTACTGCTGCTGCTGCTGCACTGACAGCCCTAGCAGCAGCTTCTACATCGTTCTGCTCTGCTTCTGTGGCGCCGAGCCGCGTTGCAGCAGCAGCATCTGCAGCAGCAGCTGCAGCAGTAGCAGCAGTGGCAGCAGCAGCAGGAAAGTCAGCAGCCAAACCTGCTGCTGCAGCAGCTGCTCTTGTGCTGCAGTTCTGCTGCTGTTCCAGTTGTTGCAGTGCTCGTATAAGGCAACGCAGCAGCAGCAGCTGCTGCGGCGATAGTGCAAGACCTGGTAAGGGAAGCAGCAGCAACTGCAGCAGCAAACCGTATTCTTCATCTGTTAGTGTAGCACGAACAGGTGTCATAAGAACTGCTGCAGCAGCACTGGGTGTTGTTAAATCTGTTGCTGTTGTTGTTGCTGCTGCACCAGCAGCAGCTGCTGCTGCTGCTTCGTCTGCTGCAGCAAGACTGTGTGCGGGGAGGTCCTGATTCCCTCCAGCTTCTGCTGCTGTGGCATTTCCTGCTGCATCCTTTGCTAATATATCCTCTACTACTGTATCCTTTGCTGCTGTATCCTTTGCTGCTGTCTCCTCTGTTGCTGCGTTGCTGCTGAAGCCTAACAATTCTCTTACATCGAACGGATCGTCGTCAGAGGAATTCTCCTTAGACCCAAAGAGGCAGAAAGCAGCAGATCGGTCTTCTGCTGCTGCTGCTGCTGCAGCTGCTGCTGATCCTGCTGCTGCTGATGCTGCTGCTGACAGATAAGCAGAAAACTGCCCCACACCCCCACCAAAAGTATCCAACCAAGCCCCCTGTTGCTGTTGCTGCTGCTGCTCATCGTCAGCAGCAGACGCCACCTGCCCCTCCTTGCAATCAGAAGCAGTGGCAGCAGCAGCAGCAGCAGCTGCTGCTGCTGCAGCAATAGCGGGAGACGGATGCATACTTGCAGGGAGACACCGCCGTGCCCATTGCACATACACCGCAGGGTTCTTTGGCCAGCAGCGGCGCTGCTGCAGCAGCCGCTGCTGCTCGGCTGGAGTAAGGTCCTGATGCTGGGCTACTTGCTGCTGATGTTCTGCTGCTTGCTGCTGCGCAAATAGATCCGTCAGCAGACATGCTGCTGCTGCCATTGTCTGCTGCAGCAGCTGCGCTAGCTCGCAGCCTGCCTTAGGTTCGCATTCGGAGCAAACTGCAGCGGTAGCAGCAGCAGCAGCAGCATCAGCAGCGCCATCGCCTACAGCTGCTGCTGATGCTGGAGGGATGGTGGTTCCGCATACTGCGCAACAGCGAGGCTCTCCCTCTCCTGCTGCTGCTGCTGCTGCACTTGCTGCTGCAGTTTCTATCCCCAGCTCCTGCCCAAAAGACTCTAGACTAAGGGAGAAGTCCAACGATGATCCTCGTGCTACTCTCCCTTGCTGCTGCTGCTGCTGCTGCTGCAGATGCTGCAGGCGGGTAGACAGCCCCACAGCTGCAAGGCAGCGCAGCAGCACCAGCAGCAACCAGCGCACTGTTGCAGTGTAGCCGCAGCGCAGCAACTGCTGCAGCACCTCTGGGGTGTACAGGCAGCAGCCTCCATGATTTCGTGTTGTTTGGGCTACAGCAGCAAGCATCTCGCGCTGCTGTTGCTCCAGCTGCTGCTGCAGCTGCTGCGGATCAGCAACACCGTGCTGCTCCTGCTGCTGTTGCTTTGCCCGTGCAATCGCCGCATCGATAGCTGCAGCTGCAGCTGTCATCGCATGCACGCGCTGCTCTTGTTGTTGCTGCTGTTGCTGTTGCTGCTCTGCTGCCTCCTTTGCTGCACGGTAGGCAGCAATGACAGCAGCAGACGCGGGGCCCCACACAGCGCATGCAGGAGACTGCGCCAACGGAATAAGTCCCTTTGCTGCAGCAAGGAGCTCACCAGACAGCTGTCGGAAGCAGAAGAAAGACTTGCTGCTGTTGCTGCTGTTGCTGCTGCAGCTGCTGCTGCAGCTGCTGCTGCAGCTGCTGCTGCTTTCTACTGCATCGGCTGCTTCCATTTGAACCAACAAAGACCCATCGTATGACCACCAGGCATCATAGACGCAGACAGGACTGCTGCTGCTGCTGCTGCTGCTTGTGCTGGTGCAGTTGCTGCTGCTCTTGCCACGCGCTGCAGCAAAGACACATATCCAATTATCTGCTGCTGTCCTGCCTGCCGCAGCAGCAACTCTGTCCTGTACATAAACTACAACATGATCATATGGAGCAGCAGCAGCAGCAGCGGAGCTAAGCTGCTGCTGCTGCTGCTGCGACTTTACGAGGACAGCCAAACGGCCATCTGCAAGACAGCACGAAGAAACGTCTCCTGCTGCTCTGCCTCTGGGCGCAGCATCAGCAGCAGCAGCAGCAGCTCCAACGTGCTGCTGCAACACAGGAGACAGACACGCGTCAGGGTGCAGCGAGAGGAGCCCTATAAGCTCCGAGTCGTTTACTGTCTGCTCGCTGCTGCTGCTGCTGCTGCTGCCTCCGCATGCTGCTGAAGGAGGCAGCAGCAGCGGCAAGGCACGAAGAGAGAAAACAAAAGCAGCAGAAGTTCTGCTGCACTGCAGCACCAAACTATCAGGCAGCAAAGACACAGCAGACACACGGCCTTCTTCCCCAGGGATGCATGCAGCTGCCAGCAGGCGCACTTCTGCTGCTGCTGCTGGTGGTGCTGCTGCATTGGTTGCTGCAGCAACTCTGCCAACTGGTGAAGCTAACAGACGCAGGCAATACACAAACGAATGCTTCGACGCTGCTGCTGCTGCTGCTGCTGCTTCTGCTGCAGGCCACGCATGCTGCTGCCTTGATGGCAGCACCAGTCCCAGGGGATCGCTGCCTGTCATCGATTGCTGCTGCTGCTGTTGCTGCTGCTGCTGCAGCCACAGCGGCGAAGCTATAAGAACACGTTCGGGTGTCAAGACAGCAGCAGCTGTCTGCTGCTGCAGCAGCAGCTGGTGCCCCTCTCTAATAAACGTACAACTGCTCCACGGTGATGCATGTGCTGCTTCTCTTGCTGCTGCTGCTGCAGTGCAGCGCGTGTCTCTCCAGGCTCCTACCAGGAATAGGCCTAAGCCTACGGCAGCGGTAGACTGCTTCTGCTGCTGCTGCAGCTCCTGCACCGGCTTCTGATGCGGTACGAGGCAGCAGCGTGAGTCGACTGCAAAGGCAAGAAGCCACGGGACACGGTCGACCTGCTGCTGCTGCTGCTGCTCATTCTGCTGCCTAGGAGAAGCAGCAGCGGGAAGCGCCGCCGTCAGCAGCAGCAGCACGGAAGTTACTGCCTGAGGCAAGGCTACGGGGACAGGCAGCTCCACGACTTGAGCAGCAAGAAGCAGCGCTTGCTTCTGCTGCTTCTGCTGCTTCTGCTGCTGCAAGTGCGTGTAGCGCGGCTGCTGCTGCTGTCCAAACAGAGCTGCCACAGCCTCCATATTCAGACCAGGGAAGAGGTCTTGCTTCTCTTGCTGCTGCTGCTGCAGCAGCAGCTGCAGCTGCTGCACCCCAAGCACCGATGAAGCAGTGTCAACCTGCAGCAGCAGCAGCTGCTGGGCATCTGCTGCTGCGCACAGCAGCAGCGGCAATCGTCCTGTGGGGGGCAGCAGAATTCTCTCCTCATTTTGTTGCTGGTGCACGCTCTGCTGCTGCAGCTGCAGCAGCTGCTGCTGCTGTTGCTGCTGCAGCAGGGCAAGAAACGATGAGGGGAGGAATGCTGCCCAAGAGACTTTAGGCATTGTAGAGGACACCTCGCTATTGCAGCAACCTAGTGGCAGATCCTGCTGCAGCAGCAGCTGCTGCTGCTGCTGCAGCGGAGCAGACTGCAGCGACAGGATCGGGGACAATCCCCCTCTTAGGCCTTCGCTTGCCCACAGCAGCAGCAAACCTGTCTCTGCCGTCCATGCTGCATCTAGTGCTTGCTGCGGCAGCGAGGAGATACCCCGCAGCAGCAGCCCTCCTTGTGCTGCTGTTGCTGCTGCTGTTGCTGCTGAAGGGTCTTCTGTGTCAGCTGCTGCTGTTGCTGCTAATGCTGCTGTAGGAGTGTCTCCGCCTCTAAGAGAGGGACTGCTACTGTCGTCTGTCTCCATGCTGCTGCTGCTGCTGCCGCTAAGGGTTTCTGTGTCTCCTTTGAACACCCCTAGGTCCTCTATTGAGCGCTGCTGCTGTTGTTGCTGCTGTTGCAGCTGCTGCTGCTCGCTGCAAAAGCAACGTAGTGCCGGCAGCTCAGTGAGCAGCGAAGTGCTCGCGAGACACCGGACTCCATAGCGCACCTGCAGCAATTTGGTGCTGCTGCTGCTGCTGCCTTCCTGCTGCAGCCGCAGCAGCACAGGAGAAAGCAGCAGCAGCAGCTCATCCCCATAAGCAGTAATGACGCGCATGCGGCAAGGAGGGATTATACAAGAAAGAAAACCGCTTAATGCTCCCCACAACAGTTGCTGCGTCTCCTGTCCTGCTGCAGCAGCAGCAGCAGACACTGCTGCTGCTGCTGATCTGCTGCCGGGAGGAGGTGAAGGAGACAGCAGCGGAGGTGCTGCTGCAGTTCCTCCAGCAGCAAGGGGATAACCAGCATACACTGCAGCACCAAGAGCAGCACCTCCCCCCGCAAGGAGACCATCTAGGGAAGAAGAAGAGGAGACAGTTACCCACATCATGTCACCTGCAAGCAGCAGCAGGAGCAGCAGCAACAGCAGCAGCATGTGAGACAGCTGCTGCTACAGCAGCAACAAATACCCAGAAAGCACTCGCGGCAGCAAACTACACAAATGGTGGTCGCAGCAACAAGCAGCAGCAACAACAACAACAGCAACAGCACAAGCAACAGCAACACCAACAGCAGCGTCAACAGAAATAGCAGCAGCAGCAACAGCAGCAGCAGCAGCAGCAGACGGACTCCATAGGTTAGGCTCAGCGAGTACAATCTCAGTGATATTTTCGATATGAAAAGAAGAGAGAGGAATATTTGCTGCTGCTGCTGTTGCTGCTGCTACCTGCTGCAGCAGCGGCAGTCCTCTTGCCCCTCTTGCTAACCCATCTATCATAAATGCCCCCACTATACACTGTTGCTGTTGCTGCTGCTGGTGCTGTTGCTGCTGCTGCTGCGACCATGGCAAGTATACAAATAGCACATGCATGCGGGGGACAGCAGCAAAAGGAGAAGCAGCAGGTAAGCCAAAGGCAACGAGAGAGTGCTGCAGCTGTCTCTCGTCGCTCTCTAGCAGCGCAAACTTATAGTGCTGCTGCTGCTGCTGCTGCTGCTGCGGTTGCTGCTGCTGCTGCTGTTGGAGGGGTGGCAAGGAGATACGCCCACAGAGTTGCAGCAGCACAGGGGATTGCATTGACCATATATACGTGTTGCTGCTGCAGCTGCATGCAAACAGCAGCAAAGGAGACACAGCAGAGGGCCCCTGCAGCGAGGCATTAACTATGAAATCGGTATGCTGGCAGCAGCAAAGGAGACGGGCGTGCTGCAGCACGCGAACACGCCTCCTCGTGCTGCTGCTGCTGCTGCTGCTGCTGCTGCTGTTGCAGCAACAGCAACAAGCAGCAGCACCCCGCAAACAGCTGCCCTCTGGTGGATACGGAAACTGCTTGCAGCAGCAAACGCTGCTGCTGCAGCTATCCTGCAGCAGCAGCGGCAGAGCAGACGCTGATAGGGGACTGCAGACACTGGTCTGCTGCTGCTGCTGCACTGCAGCAGCAGCAGCAGCAGCAGAAGTAGGAGGAGTATGCTTTGAATGCGATAGAGCACCCCTAATAGAAGACTGAGATAGCAAGCTGTTGCTGCTGCTGCTGCTGCTGCTGCCCCTGCTGAGACGGCGAGTTGAGTGCTGCGAGCTGCTGCTGCTGCTGCTGCTGTCACACTCAGCAGCAGCAGCAGCAGCAGCAGCAGCAGCAGGCAGCAGCGGCACACAGCGGATCTCACAAGGCAGCCGTCCCCCACCAGGGGCAAGCAATGTCCTCAAGAAGTCATCGCTGCTGCTGCTGCTGCAGCAAGGAGACAGCTGGCTGTCCCAGCTGCTGCTGTTGCTGCAGCTAGCAGCAGCAGCAACAGATGCAGCAGCAAGGGGAGCAGCAGCAGCTGCTGCAGCAAGCGAGGACACTGCTGCTGCTTTATCTGTGCAGTGTACAGACAGCTGCCATGGTATCTGCAGCAAGAAGACACAACGACGCAGCGCTGCATGCATTTTGCTGCTGCTGCTGCTGCAGCAGAAACTTTTACAATCATGAATTGCTGCAGCATAAACAAAAGGACCCTCAGCACCTGGACCTTCTGCTGCTGCTGCTGCTGCAGCAGCAGCAGCAGCAGCAGCACCATCTCCTCGTTGAAACCAATCCTCTGTCAAGGTCGCAGACACCGTATGCTGCAGCGGATCTGCTGCTGCTGCTGCTGCTGCAGATTCTACTGCATTGCCGTCTGCTGGATCCACCCCAGCAGCACCTAACACCGTCCTGTCCTGCTGCAGTTGCTGCTGCTGCTGCTGCTGCTGCTGCTGCTGCTCATGCAGTCTGTCTCGAGGTGTAGAGACACAACTGTCTCTCCTTAGCCCATCAACATCAGCAGCATCTGCTGCTTCTGCTGCTTTTTCCTCTGCTGCTGCTGCATCTGCTGCTGCTGCTGCTGCTTCCGCGTGAGAGGCAGCACGACTGCAGCAGAAGGTTGGAGATGGCAGCAGCGCAGACACCGCAACAATACGCACCAGCGGAGGTAACGCAGCAGCAGCAGCAGCAGCAGCACGAGGACGCACAGGCAGAGGCACAAAGGCGCCAATAAGAGAAGAGACAGATAAATTCTGGCATGCTCTGCTGTCTGCTGCTGCTGTTGCAGCAGCAGCAGCAGCAGCTGCTGCTGCTGCTTCTCCAGCTGTTGTACCAGCAGCAGAGCCTGCTACTGATGCTGGATAGTCTGTATTGAGCTGATGCTGCTGATGCTGCAGCAAGCTGCTGCTGCTGCTGCTGCTGCAAGACTGCAGAGGAGGAACAGGGCCTTGCGGCCCCATCCACCCATGCTGCTCCATTAGCGCTGCTGCTGCTGCTGCTGCTGCTACTGCTGCTGCTGCTGCGGATAGGGAAGATTCTCCTTAGCTAGCCATTTGGATCCAACTTCTAGCCAAGTATCCGCAGCACGAGAGCCATGCATGCAGCCGCTGCTGCTGCTGCAGTTGATGCTGAAACTTTTGCTGCTGTTGCTCTTGCAATTACTGCTGCTGCTGCCGCTGCTGCTGCTCCTGTATCCTAACGTTTACTCGGATAAATAAGAGAAGAAGAATCCAGACCTGCTGCAGCAACAGGGCGACTTGGCCGTTGCTGCTGCTGCATTTGCTGCTGCAGCTGCTGCTGCCAAGGCACAGTTGCTGCTCGTGCTGCAGCAGCTGCTGCGACCCCCAGCTACCCCGGTATCCAAATAAAGAGGCCCTAAGTGGTGTCGGTGTGGCAGCTGTCCTTGCTGCTGCTGCTCCCGAAAGGCCGCTGCAGCAGCAGCAGCAGGAGCAGCAGCAGGAGCAGCAGCTGCTGCGGCGGCACTAGCAGCAGCTACCTAGATATTCTATGCTTATCTTATATGTGTTAACTTTTTCTTACGCAGCAACATTTGCTGAGGCAACAGATGGGTTTTAATCTGCTGCTGCTGCTGCTGCTGCTGTTGTTGCTGTTGCTGTTGCTGCTGTTGTTGTGCTCCTGCTGCTGGGGTGGGATCTAGTACTGGGGCGCTGCTGTTGCAGCAGCTGCTGCTGTTGCTGCTGTTGCTGCTATAGATATAAATAAAAACAAATACCTAACTTATAAGGAAGTTATATTACACATAAATTGTTAACCTGCTTACCTGCTGCTGCTTGTCGGCAGCGGCTGCTGCTGCTGGGGCTTCCGCTGCAGCAGCAGCAGCAGCAGCAGCAGCAGCAGCAGCAATCGGTCCTGCTGCTGCTGCTGCGAGTATGTGTGGGGTCCATGATTCCTTCTTATCTTATTCCTTCTTCTGCTGCTCTCCCCACAGTTGCAGTCAAGTTTGTTGCGCTGCTGCGGACCAGCCAGTCGCAGCAGCAGCAGCAACAGCAGCAGCAGCAGCAACAGCAGCAGCAGCAACATGCCCTGTGTGCGCTGGTGTAGGTACACCTCAGCTCATATAAACGACTCTAATGATGGCCCTCTAGTGATGAGGGACATGGAGCAGCAGCAGCTGCAGCTCCAGCAGCAGCAGCAGCAGCAGCAAGAGTAGCAGCAAGAGCAGCAAAGGCGGCAGCAGGTTTGCTGCTGCTGCTCCAATTAGAAGCAAATAATATTTACAGTACTCGCTAGCTAGCCAGCTGCTGCAGCACTAGCTAGCTAACTAGCTAGCCAGCTAGTTAGCTAGCTAGCTTGTAACAGACCATAAACGCTGCTGCTGCTGCTGCTACTGCTGCAGCATCACCTGCTGCTGCTGCTGCTTCTGCTGCTGTCGGGTACAGCTGCTGCTAATGGTAGTATCTGCTCATGCTGCAGCTCTGCTGCTCCTCGACCTCCCCGACTGCTGCTGCTGCTGCTGCTGCTTCCGTCCTATTTTGCTGCACAAGAGAAGGAAGCAGCAGCAGCAACAGAGGCAGCAGCAGCAGCAACAGGAACTGCAGCAGACACTGTTCTAATGTTCGTTGTTGTTGCTGCTGCTGCTGCTGCGCATGCATGCAAAGGTTACTAGGGGCAACAACCCTCTTGAGAAAATGCCAACAGAACTGCTGCTGCTGCTGCTGCTGCTGCTGCTGCTCTTGCTGCTACTCTTCTTGCTGCTACTGCTGCTCTCCTCTAGTGTGTTGCTGCTGCTCTATGTCTATGTTTACACGCCCTCACTCATACATACGCAAGGGGCGCGTCCTGCTGCTGCTGCTGTTGTTGCTGCTGCTGCTGCTGTTGCTGCTGCTGCTGTTGCTGCTGCTGCTAATGCTGCTAATGCAAGAACTGCTATAGGGCCTATACACTAGGTTCTGCTGCTTCTGCTGCTGCAGCAGCAGCAGCAGCAGCAGTGAGTAGGGTATACACAATACGTATAAGATTGTCAATTCAAGACAAGAAGAGTTGCGACGCTGTGGGCTGCGGTGTACATACACCTCAATATATATATATTATATATATAT